AAGCATCAGCAACCAGCCTCTGCTCCTATTCCAAGGACCCCACCCACCCAGAGTTGGCCCCGTTTCCCTTTCTCCCCTATAGCATTTGCTTCCAAAGATGCTCTCCTAACTCAATCGAAAACAGCTCTCTCAGCTCCCTGTCTTAAGCCGCGCTGTCCAATAGAACTTTCTGACATGATGGAAATATTCTTCATCTCCACTGTCCACTACACGAACCACGACCATGTGCCGTGGAATACTTGAAATGTGGTGAGAGCAACTAAAAGGCTGAGTTTGCATTTAGTTTTGTGTTTAAATAGCTGCATGTGGCTAGTGATAGCGCAGCAATAGAGCAGTGGCTCTCAACCTTGACTGTCCCCTAAATTTACCCTGGCAGGAACCTTTTAAGAATACAGGCCATATCCCAAATCAGTTAAATTAGAATCTATTTTCAAAGCTTTCTCTGGGTTTTTCAGACACGTGGCCAAAGTTCAGAACCGTTGTTCTAAAGGCAGTGTTTGGCAAACTATCGTGCGTAAGAATCTCCTGGGGATCTTGTGAAAATAGCGACTCTGATTCATACGCCTGCTGCCCTGGGACCATACTGTGTCCCAGGGCTCTACCTCAGCCCTTCTAATCCATTCACCTACAAACACAGTACTTCCTGTGAGCCCAGTGGCACGGCAGTTCTGGCTTTTAGCATTTCCATTCTAGCCAGAGAAGATGTAACAAGCATGTAATCTCAAATAGTGATAACTGCTTTGAAGTAATAAAATAGCACAGAGGGGTAAGGGTGTGTGCAGCTGCTGTAGATTTAAGAAGGTTAACGTTTCATTTTTGGCTTTCAGGAGCTTACAGGAAAACCACGGGGAATCTGGGGAAACATGCTCTCTGGTCAAGAGGGACAGTGAATGTGAGGTTCCTGAGGCAAGAACAAGTCTGGCAGAGTAACGCACAGGTGAACAGAGAAAGTGATAGGAGTGAAATCACAGGACACGGGTGGTCATGGTAAGGAATTTGGATTGTGCTCTAACTGAATTAAAAGTCACAGTTGGGTCTTAAGCAAAGCATGAGGAATTCTAGTTGACAGTGAAGAGACTGCTCACTGCTGATCTGACTTGATAGTTTTCACAGCATCTCTTAACTTTGTCTCCTTTTTCCCCTTTGCCGATTTTCCCCCTCAGTACCCCAGAAAGAAAAACATAGGTCTTTAGGTATTAAAAAACCAAGGAATTATTTATCCTTCAAATGAAAGCCAAATTCAGAACCAGGCAGTTTAGAGGAGCCAGGGCGGAAATCGCCATTGTAAGAAGCAGGCAAGGGCTCGAGGCTGTCCAAACCCCCATCTCTGGAAGCTCCTGATAGGATGGCTTCCACGCTGGTGTCAGTAAACTGTAACCAACTTTCATTCTGCAAGATTCTTGCCTTAGGCAGCAAGAGGCTCTAAGGTAAGAAACAGAGAAGCAGGTGGAAAGAAGGGGCCCAATGGCTACCTTTTATCTGAAAAAGACCTGCCGAAGTGAGAGACTGCCTCTGTATGGAATCACTGAAAAGCCAGACCAGAGATCCGCACTCTGAGCTATTGCAAAGGAGTGACCAACACGAGTCTTGGTTTTCCTCTTTCTCATTAATACAACCCAGGACAGTTTCTATCAATAGCAGTTAAATGATGCTTTCCCATAGGAATCTGTCAACCAGAGAAATCCTAAAAAGCATATGAAGGAACATGAGCTGAATACATTTGCATGTGGCTTCATCCAGATACAGGGTTAGTTAATAGTTATTACTTCTAAGAAAATCTTGGGAAAGATATGCACCCAAATATTAACAGTAGTTACCTCTGGAAGATCAGATTAGACGGGAGGAGGAGGGAGAAAGAAGGGCACATTCTGCTTACTTTTCAAAAGTGAATCAAAATACTAGTGGAGAAAAAAGAAAAAAAGATTCCAGGAGAATTTAACTAGATGACACAACTTCTTCTAAACCAAAGGAAGGTTAAATCATGTTTCCTTAAATGCATTATATATATATATATATATATATATATATATATATATATGTATGTATATATATATATTACTGTCCTAAAATGCTTCATTAACAGCTAAGAATCTTTATTCAGGTCAATTTGTGAAATACAATAGCTGTTAATGTCTGGAACACACTGGACAAGGCTGGGTGTGGCAGCTGGAATAATGCTCCCCATCAGGTATGCCCACGTCCTCATTTTTGGGACCTTTGAATATTACTTTATATGGCAAAAGGAGTCTTTACAGGTATGACTAAGTTAAGGATCTTGAGACGAGAGATAATTATGGATCATCTGGTTGGTCCCCAATACTGTCACAATTGTCCAGAAACAGAGGGAGATCTGACTACACAGAGAAGAGGGCAAGGGAAGCAGGGAGGGGCTTGAAGATGCTAAGCTGTTGGTGCTAAAGACAGGGGAGGGGCCATGAGCCACAGAACACAGCTCTAGAGACTGGAAAAGGCAGGACGGTTCTCTCCAAGAGCCTACAGAGGGAGCTCGGCCCTGCCAACACCCTGATCCGCCCAGTGACTTCCAGAAACACGAAATAATAAAGGTGTTGTTTTAAAGTCCCCACATTTGCAGTAAACCGTCATAGGAAATGAATACACAGAACTAAGGACTAGGATTCGTGGAAGAAGCAGAAAGCACAAGAATGACAACCCCACATTCCTGGGTTGGAACCCCGCTGCTCAACCTACTGACTCGCCTATGGTCAAGACTTTTCCAATTCTGAGTTTCTTCATCTAAAAATTAGGGCTAAGAACGTCCTCATGTTTAGTGTGAGTATTCGATGAGAAGGGAAGTAGCAGACAGAACACCCTAGCTGCTTTCTTTTCAGAGGGATTGCTAGAAACTTGTCTTATCCAGACGGCTTCTACCGCTGAAGTCACACCAGGATCCCCTGAGACATGAAGTGAGATCCCTGTTGGCCTTGCTCAGTATCCATTACCCTCTATGCAAGTATCCGCCAAGAGAGGCCCTGTGTGCAAGTATCCACCAAGAGAGGCCCCAGCGCGCAAGTGTCCGCCGAGAGAAGACCCTCTGCCCAAATGTCCGCAGAGAGAGGCCCCTGTGCGCAAGTGTCCGCCGAGAGAGGACCCTCTGCGCAAGTGTCCGCCGAGAGAGGACCCTCTGCGCAAGTATCCGCCGAGAGAGGCCCCAGCGCGCAAGTGTCCGCCGAGAGAGGCCCCTCTGCCCAAGTGTCTGCAGAGAGAGGCCCCTGTGCGCAAGTGTCCGCCAACAGAGGCCCCAGTGCGCAAGTGTCCGCCAACAGAGGCCCTCTGCGCAAGTATCCATCGAGAGAGGCCCCTGTGCGCTAGTGTCCGCCAACAGAGGCCCCAGTGCGCAAGTGTCCGCCGAGAGAGGCCCTCTGCGCAAGTATCCATCGAGAGAGGCCCCTGTGCGCTAGTGTCCGCCGAGAGAGGCCCCAGTGCACAAGTGTCCGCCGAGAGAGGCCCCAGTGCGCAAGTATCCATCAAGAGAGGCTGATTCAACTGTTCTCATCCTCTAATTACAGTATTTGCCCATCACAGTAAATAAACAGATGCAGGCCCAGTAACAAGAATCATCCCTTACCTCTTAGCTACTGTGATGATTAATTTTATGTGTCGATCAGACTGGGCTATATGATGCCCCAGTGTGTCTATGAGCGTGTTTCCAGAAAAGATCAGTGTTTGAACTGGTGAACTAATAAGCAAAGCAGGTGGCCTTCCCCACTGTGGGTGGGCCTCATCCAATCCATTCAAAACCCCCAACCAGAACGAAAAGGCAGAAGAATGGCAAATTCACTCTTTGCTTGAGCTGACTATCCATCTTCTGCCCTTAAAACACAGCGGCACTCCTGGTTCTCAGGCCTCAGGACATGGATTGAATTACACCACTATCTTTCCTGGGTTCCAGCTTGCAGCCAGAAGACTATGGGCCTTCTCTCTCTCAGCTGCCATAATAGTCACATGAGCCAATTCCTATAAGAAATCTTTGCTTACACTTACCTGTTCTACTCTATTGGTTCTGTTTCTCTGGAGAACCCTAATACTATTAGGCCTAAATTACTCCCCTGAAAGGACGGTAAGGCAGCCAAATAAGGATTGCTGCAACAGTCTGAGAAGTCACTGAACTGACAGCCCTTCAAAGACAGGCCCTGTTCTTTGGGGCTGGGAAGAACACGGAGCCCAGAAGTCTGCGTGGGCCATTGACAGCTCATTACAGCAACAGAAGCCTGCCTGTGTGTACTCACTGCAAAGAATGTCACATCCTCTGTCTTAAACATTTAACTTGAGCCTATCCTGTGTCCCCCTATAACTCTAAGATGTGTTTGGCTTCAAAACATGACACTGAAAGGACCGTTGGTGTGATTTATTTAGTTTCAGTATACTGCAGTGGCATGCAAAGAATCTGCACATTTAAATGGAAACCCTTCCATCATGAGAGAGCAAGCTGTAAGTCAAGGATTGGAGCTGATTCCCCCACCCCCACCACCCCCACCAGAGCCCTGGCTCTGGCCAGTCAGCGTCCACGCCCAACTGACCCGCCTGTTAGCCAAGCCCGCTCCCCCAACTATCGGCCTTCTCAGCGGAATGACACAGGACCATGGACTTAAAAATGCAAAGGAGCAGGAATCTCTTCTGATATGCCCAGGAGCCTCTAAAGGCAAGTATTCTTTAAAGCATGCTAAAATGAACCCATGAGTGGGTGGGCACCATGGAAGATGAATAATCCTGGTCCTCCCCCTGTTCTAGGGAAAGTTGTCAGTGAGTGTCAAAGATTATTTAGAGAAATTTGCTTTGAGGAAAATCAAGCTTTCTTAATTAGTATATAAAAGACACTTTAAGTACATTTTCACTTAGGAAACTGACTGAGCCATGAAGAGCATCACTGAACCATTTTCTTATACTGAATGACCAATATTCTGGATCTGAACCAGCAGGCAGCTGCACCGCCCGAGTCATGACAGCTGGCTCTCTTTATTCACTGGTGTCACTGCATGTGTTCAAAAAGCGGACTCCACGTCGCCCATCTCCACACACACAGTCTTCAGCTGTGAATAGTATTCAATTGTCACCCGGCCATTCTCTCTGCCAAATCCTGAAAGAAAGAGACAGGGTGAGGGTGCACCGTTGCTGGGATCCAGACACAGTGGCCTGCGGGGACAGGTAGGGTCTGCCCCCAGGGCTGGGGAAGAGCGCAGCGCCAAGTCCTGGGGTCCAGGCCTCCCCTGCATGCTGTGACTGTGCAGCCAGATGTGGGGCAAGTGACCCCCCGGCCTTCAAGGACAGGGATGGGGAAATACTCAGGTTTCATTTCTTACCAGTGTGAACCTTAACTTCCAGTATTTACTCTTCTGGGCTAAGGTCTAAAATGTTCAGGCTTCCTCCTCAAACACTAGAGCATTCTCTACAATTATCAACCTGAGGCCTTTAAAAGTCAGTGCTAACTTAAAACCTAACTCTGCATGATACGCTTAGTAACCTCCTCTTACATTGAATCTTTAGGAGCAACAACTGTTTCCACTTGCCCACTCACGTGGGGAGTGGACCCTGTAGGCCCTCAGGTTACTCAAAGCCAAGACATCACCCAATCACTAGTGGATGAGGTTACGTGCTAAAAGGACAGCCTTCCTTGTGCTCCTGCCCCAGGCTGAGGCAGGCTCTGCATCCTAAGGCCTAGGCCCAGTCTCCAAAACTGCATATCTCCAGGGCACCATTCCAAAGGTGACAGACTCAAAGCCTGCTAGGGCCTTCTCTGGCTTTTGTTCCTTTTCAACTCCTCTCAGCATGGAGGTCACTGGGCGCGTCAGGCCAGCTTTCTGCCCTCTCACCTCATGTAGGACTATCCATGGGCACTGAGGCCAAAGCTGCAGATTCCAAACACAGTGGGGGTTAAGAATGAACAGAACAGAGTCCTGATTCCTACCCTGCATTTGAGTCTGTGTGACAGCTTCTCTGGGTAACCCCACAGGGACAAGAATCTAGAGATGTATGACTAGAGAATGCCAGGATGATACCAAACACAATACCAAATAAAACCGTCAAACTAACACCCACCATCTCACCATTATTCGTTGGTATGTGTTTGCCAGCACTGGGACGGCTATAAGTTCCTGCCACGAGACTAGGGGTCAGACTCTTAGGAAGGTACGTCTACAAAGTCTAAACCGATTTTCATAGTCAGTGTTAGTCGCTCAGTCATGTCCAACTCTTAGCTTCCCATGGACTGTAGCCCACCAAGCTCCTCTGTCCATGGAATTCTCCAGGCAAGAATTCTGGAGTGGTAGCCATTTCCTTCTCCAGGGGATCCTCCTGACCTAGCGATTAAACCCGGGTCTCCTGCACTGCAGGCAGATTCTTTACCATTTGAGCCACCAAGGAAGCCCAATTCACAAAACTGGTGAAATTAGCAACAAATGCCAAAGAAAGAACCTCAACGTAATGGCTGTGTTCCTGATGCCTCAAATCTCCTAACAGACCATTATAAACTTGCTATGGTTAGGACATCATGGAGTGGTGTTATGCTCACAGCAATTATAGACTGTGAGGAAAAAGTAATCCCACTGTTCACAAGCCAACCATGAGACCCTTCTGGAGGACTTCTGGAAAACATACAGATGCTCGGCTCCCACTCTCACGGATACAGTGGGCCTGGGGAGGACGACGACTTCATATACATTCTGGTAATGCTGACACAGATACAAGTTTAGGAACCTCCTCTATTATGACCAGTGTCTCCAGACACATGAATTTCTCACAATCCCAAGCTCCTCACCTGACTTCTTATATCCACCAAAGGGCAACTCCACTGGACTGACGTTATAGTTGTTAATGAAGCACATTCCAGCCTGCAGCTCAGCCACCACCCTGTGGGCGCGCTGGATGTCCCTACGGAGAAAGAAATGGCGCTGGTGAGTCATGGTTTCTTTTGCTACGACTTTAACAGGAAAAGTGAGACGGTCACTTCTAAGAGTTTCAAAACATTGCCAAATTCTTGTTTCTTCACAATGTGTTTTAAAATCTTATGCCATCCAGGCAAAATAGGTAAGAATTTGAATTTTGTAGTCTCATCCAGAAGCATCTATAAAATATGTAGCAGCAACAAGGGTGCTAAAACAATTCAAGGCGGGAAAATAGTCTTTTCAGCAAACACTGCTGAACAACCAGATGTCCACAGGCAAAGGAATGAAGGAAGAGCCAGCCCTTTCTCACACAATGCACAAAAATTAACTCAAATGGATCACTTGACTAAAATATCAGACTGAAAACCATAAAACTCTTCAAAGAAAACAGGAATAAATCTCCATGACCTTCTGTTAGACACAACCTTCTTAGACATGACACCAAAAGTAACAGATTAAAAAAAATAGAATAATTTTTATCTATAAAAATTTTTAAATTTTGTGATGCAAGTGAGATTATCAGAAAAGGAAAAAGACAACTCACAGAAATGCAAATAAACCACAAGACACTGCTACATATCCACTAGGATGGCTAAAATCAAAAGAACCGATAATAACAGGTGCTAGTGAGGATGTGAAGAAACTAGAATCCTTAAACATTGCTGATGGGAATGTAAAGTACTGCTGCCACTTTGGAAGACAGTTTGGCATTTCCTCAAAAAGTTAAACAGAGAGTTTCCATCAGTTCAGTTCAGTCTCAGTCATGTCCGACTCTTTTGTGACCCCATGAATCACAGCACGCCAGGCCTCCCTGTCCATCACCAACTTCCGGAGTCCACCCAAACCCATGTCCATCGAGTCGGTGATGCCATCCAGCCATCTCATCCTCTGTTGTCCCCTTCTCCTCCTGCCCCCAATCCCTCCCAGCATCAGGGTCTTTTCCAATGAGTCAACACTTCGCATGAGGTGGCCAAAGTATTGGAGTTTCAGCTTCAGCATCAGTCCTTCCAATGAACATCCAGGACTGATCTCCGTTAGGATGGACTGGTTGGATCTCCTTGCAGTCCAAGGGACTCTCAAGAGTCTTCTCCAACACCACAGTATAAAAGAATCAATTCTTCATGCTCAGCTTTCTTCACCATCCAACTCTCACATCCATACATGACCACTGGAAAAACCATAACCTTGACTAGACGGACCTTTGTTGGCAAAGTAATGTCTCTGCTTTTTAATATGCTATCTAGGTTGGTCATAACTTTCCTTCCAAGGAGTAAGCGTCTTTTAATTTCATGGCTGCAATCACCATCTGCAGTGATTTTGGAGCCCGAAAAAATAAAGTCTGTCACTGTTTCCACTGTTTCCCCATCTATTTCCCATGAAGTGATGGGACCAGATGCCATGCTCTTACTTTTCTGAATGTTGAGCTTTAAGCCAACTTTTTCACTCTCCTCTTTCACTTTCATCAAGAGGCTTTTTAGTTCCTGTTCACTTTTCCATATGATCCAGCAATTCTGCTCCTGGGTTTATACCAAGCAGAAATGAAACATACACACAAAGAAATTTTCACACAAAGACACATATATAAATGCTCATTGGAGCATTATTCATAATAGCTGAAAAGTAGAAATAGCCCAATGTCTATCAAAATGTAAATGAATAAACAAAATGTGATATATTACAACAGAATATTACTCAGTATAGAAAAGGGCTTCCCTGGTGGCTCAGATGGTAAAGAGTCCGCCTGCAATGTGGGAGACCTGGGTTTGACCCCTGGGTTGGGAAGATCCCTTGGAGAAGGGCATGGCAACCCACACCAGTATTTTTGCCTGGAGAATCCCATGGAGAGAGAAGCCTGGTGGGCCACAGTCCTTCGGGTTGCAAAGAGTCACATAACTGACTGACTTTCACACACACACACAATAGCGGAAAGGAATAAAGTAGTGAAACAGACTACAACATAAATGAACTTTGAAAAGAAGCTAGTAAAAGGACTAAGTGAAAGAAGCTAGTTATGAAAGGTCACATACTGTATGATTTCATTTATGTAGAATTTTCAAAATATGCAAATCTATAAAGACAGAAAGTAGATTAGCGGTTGCCAGGGGTGGGGGGAGGGGAGAATGCAGAGTAGCTGTTAATGTTCTTGGGATGACAAAAATGTTCTAAAATTAGATTATAACCACAGTTCTACAATCTATAAATATACTAAAAACTACTGAATTGTACACCTTAGATGAGTGAATTATTTGGTAGGTGAATTATCCTAAGAAAGGTGTGTTTTTTTGTTTTTTTTTTTTTAAAAAAAGGAGTTACCGTCCTCTGTAACTGGCCTTTGTATTTTGGTGGTGAAGCAAAGTAGCAAGAGAGACGCAATCCACCCTCTCCTCACATCAACAAAAGCTGCTCCTCAGAGAGGGCTTTTAGGACAGTGAGACTACTTTGCCTGACACGACAGCACTGGGCCCGTGTCACTCGTGTGTCCAAATGCACAGACCTCACACCAGGAGGGAGCCCTCAGGTGAACCCTGGCCTTCGGCGATAATGACGCGTTCATGGAGGCTCACCAGTTCTAACAACTGTGCCACTCTGGTGGGCGATGCTGATCACGGGGAGGCTATGCACATGTTGGGGCGGAAACACTGGGAAATCTCTGTACTTTCTACTCAATTTTGTATTGACCCTAAAACTGCTCTAAAAAAATTAAGTCTATCAGAAACAACAAAAAAGGAGCTCCTCTTTCTTTCCTTCACAATTCAAAAAGAAGCTATTATGTCAGGTCCTCAAGGGAGACCTGGGTCTGCCTCTCCAAGTTCCTCACCACAAAACTATAAAAAAAAAAACCTGAAAAACCAAACTTGTATATCACTAAAGAAACAGCATATTCCCAATTGTAGAGCAATCTTAGAAAACTGCCTACTGTTGCCAAAGACGAATCAGAGTTTGTATATAATCAAACGATCTGCAATCATTTTCAAAGAAATTTTAGTCCCAAATCACTTTTTGCTTTTCAGCGGTTTAAGTTTATGTACTAAGATAGTAATCACATTACTTAAAATAGTTAAAATTGGAAACAGCACCCTAAATACACAACAGAAGGCCCACATGTGTTACAATGCATCCCGATTTAGGGACTACTATAAAGCTATTAAAAATCATGTCTTTGAAAACTACTGCCAGTATTTATATGCTTACAGGTTTCTAAATTCCTTGACATGTATTTTTTAATAGGGACCTAACATGATGCTTTACATAGATCAGAAACTTAAAATATTTATTCAATGAGTGAATGAAAAAAAGAACAGGATTTTTATCAATAAAGCTAATAGCTTAATTTAAACTCAACAGTAGGGTTCTGGCTATGATGCAACTTTGGCATCTTCTGACTTCACCTGAAGCAAACAGAAAACGCTGATGAGATGCAATGAGGGCAAACTCCAGTGAAGGAATAAGATAAATTAAATATCTAAGAAGATACAGCAGCCCCATTTCCTCAAAGCTACTTGGAGTGTCCTTCCCACCTACCTGGTGAAGACACCAGCAGCGAGTCCAAAAGTGGTGTCATTGGCTCTTTCCAGAACCTCAGCTTCAGTGTCAAATGATAAAATGGACATAACTGGTCCAAAGATTTCTTCCTTCACACAGGTCATGTCATCTCGGCAATTAGCTGCAAACATTATTTTAAAAATCAAACATCAGTGAAGGAATTATCATTCTGGCATGGAATCATCATTCTGGCATTCCTTGTTCATAGTAAACAGTGAAATACAGAGCTTTAGAGAAATTTCAATGCAACATTTCCAGTATGATAATAAATCAGATCATCCTTCCTGCATGATGATGAACACTACATATTAAGGAATCATGGCCTTTGTGTTCATTTTAAGTCTACTTTTTAAAATATTCATCATAAGGACATAGTTAAGGCTTCCCTGGTGGCTCAGATGGTAAAGAATCTGCCTGCAATCCAGGAGAGCCGAGTTAAATCCCTGGGTCGGGATGGTCCCTGGAGAAGGGAATGGCTCCCCACTGGAAAATTCCATGGACAGAGGAACCTGGCAGGCTACAGTTCATGGCATCTCAAAGAGTCGGACACAGCTGAGCAACTAACACTTTCCGTTTTCAAGGACATCGATAATGAGGTGGACGAGGATATCTGTACAAGGACTTCCATCACAACACTCCTGTGACAATGAAAACTAGAAGCAACAAACGGGGTATCCAAAATAGATGGGATGGTCATGTGAACAAAACACACCCCAATGATGAACTTCTGTGAAGCCTCAAAAAGTAATGTTTTTGAAGAAAATGTAATAAGCAAATGCTTATGATGAATAGTCACCGAAAAAAATACAAACTGTACATATCATCCCAATTTCTGTTAAAATGTCATACAGGATTAACATTTTTTACACTTTTTCACATTTTCTTAATAACTGTGATAGTAGAAGGAGAAACTATTTTTAAAAAGAAAATACAATGTAAAAACATAAACAGAAATAACTGAATGGGTGTTCAGTTAATATGAAAATGTACTTAGGTGATTAATTCCCTAAAATGATTAAATTCACACTTGACTTTCTAAAATATACATGTATACCTGAAGAAGCTCATTTATTTAGATGTGCAGTACTGAACCCCAGTGAACTTCAAGAAAATGGTGTTTTTATCTCACTGTGGCTGAAAGACAGCTCATCTCAGTGCTGGCAACCACTGCAAGGAGTGAGATATGCATCTGTAAGGCTGTGTGATATATGTAAATGCTGAGGCAGAAAAACAGCCTTAGAGCCCTACTATAAATACCAGCTTCACACCAGCCAAAGCTAAAAACCAACTACTCACGTATCTACAAAGATGAGGACTCTAAAATCTCCTAAGAGATAGATCAGAGCTTGTATACACAAAGTAAAAACAGCTCTTTGTCCCTCTGTATGTTACAGTGTACTCTGGGGACACCTAAACTACCTACAAAGGTATAGTAAATAATTTTAGGTGGTGATTAAGGATAGTTTATTATGATCTAAATCTCTGAAAACTGCCAATCCATGTATCATTTTTAGGGAAACTGTTAGAATATTAAATGATTCAAGACAGCTCATCACCCAACTGTCCCAGAGCACAGTTCGCCGTACGCAGGCTGTAACGGAGCACGGTGCTGTGGGCAGGATGTTCGGCACTAGAGTCAGGAATGAGGGGTAAAGCCGCAGCTCAAATATGAGAAAAGGAGCGGTTCCTGCACCACACCTCAGCCCCAAATCTAGTAAATGAAGCTAAAGATCGAGCCTCTGCAGTCAGTCTCAAACTTTAATGTGCATAAAAACGAACTGACTTTTTATTTTGTACTGGAGTATAGCTGATTAACAATGCAGTGCAGTTCCAGGTGGAGAGTCAAAGGACTCAGCCATGCATGTACATGTATCCATTCTCCCAAGACACAGGTCTTGGGGTTCCAGACCCTCAGAGTCACATTTGGGGGCCTAGGGCAGAGACCAGAAATCTGCCTCTTTACCAGTTTTCCAAGCGACACTGATACTGTGGACCACAAATCAGGCTTTCAAAATCACTAGGATGAAGGGAAGGTAGTTAGCTCCCTGTTCTTTGCACAAAACAGCTTTAAAAAAAATTGTTTTCCTAATTGCAAAATACACATTCTCAGTTTGAGTCTGTTGTAGTGAGATGGATCAAACTAGAACTTGTTACACAGAGTGAAGTCAGAAAGAGAAAAACAAATATCATATATTAATGCATATTTCTGGAATCTAGAAAAGGTACTGAGGAACCTATCTGCAGGGCAGGAACAGAGGCAGTCATCTTCACGATACAGACTTGCGGACACAGTGCGAGGGTCGGGAGGACGGAGAGGGTGGGACGAATTGAGAGACTAGCGTTGATACGCCACGTGTAAAACAGACAGCAAGAGGGAAGCTGCTATATAACCCAGGGAGGGGAGCTCAGTGCTCCGTGATGACCAAGATGGGTGGGGGGGGGGGCATGTGGGGAGGAGGCTCAAGAGGGAGCGGATATATCTATACTTATAGCTGATTCACACTGTAGCAGAAATCAACACAACGTTGTAAAGCAATTATCCTCCAACCAAAAATAAATAAATAAACATAATCTATAGAAAATCTGTAATAGTTAGCAAATCATCAAGTTTAACAAAAATCACCTTTAATCCAAGCATCTAGAGAAATAAAACCATTATCAATATTATGATGCATATTTTCTGTTCCTTCTCTGTCCCATGCACATATTTGGTTTTTCAGATTTGGGATAATACCATATACACCATTGTTTAAAACATATTGTCAGAGAAATGCAAATCAAAACCTCAATGAGGTACCATTACACGCCAGTCAGAATGGCTGCTATCCAAAAGTCTACAAGCAATAAATGCTGGAGAGGGTGTGGAGAAAAGGGAACCATCTTACACTGCTGGTGGGAATGCAAACTAGTACAGCCGCTATGGAGAACAGTGTGGAGATTCCTTAAAAAACTGGAAACAGAACTGCCATATGGCCCAGCAATCCCACTCCTGGGCATACACACCAAGGAAACCAGATCTGAAAGAGACACGTGTACCCCAATGTTCATCGCAGCACTGTTTATAATAGCCAGGACATGGAAGCAACCTAGATGCCCATCAGCAGACGAATGGATAAGAAAGCTGTGGTACATATACACTATGGAATATTACTCAGCCATTAAAAAGAATTCATTTGAATCAGTTCTAATGAAATGGATGAAACTGGAGCCCTTTATACAGAATGAAGTAAGCCAGAAAGATAAAGACCAATACAGTATACTAACACATATATATGGAATTTAGAAAGATGGTAACGATAACCCTATATGCAAAACGGAAAAAGAGACTCAGATGTATAGAACAGACTTTTAGACTCTGTGGGAGAAGGCGAGGGTGGGATGTTCAGAGAGAACAGCATTGAAACAAGTATACTATCAAGGGTGAAACAGATCACCAGCCCAGGTTGGATGCATGAGACGGGTGCTCAGGGCTGGTGCACTTGGAAGACCCAGAGGGATAGGATGGAGAGGAAGGCAGGAGGGGGTATCGGGATGGGGAACACATGTAAATCCATGGCTGATTCATATCAATGTATGGCAAAAACCACTACAATACTGTAAAGTAATTAGCCTCCAATGAATAAAAATAAATGTAAAAAAATAAAATAAAATAAAAACATATTGTAAGTTTTCCCTCTTCTTTAACAGCTACAAACTAATTCTTGGTATGGATGCTAAATTCACAGCCTTTAAACCTCAGAAGTTGTTTTTCTAGCAAGGGCTAAAGGTTAAACTGCATCAAATCAAATACCAAGTGTTGAAAAGTGGCACCACTATCAACCTCAGGGACAAAAATCAGCTGAATCTATCTTCAAGATAAGATGTAAGGAATTATACAGCATTATTCCATCTGTATATAGTTTTTTAAAGCCAAGAAAACTGGCAATATTTTTATAGTAGATACTAACAACAGCAAAGTCTAAAACAGTGTCACCCGTAAGCAGGAGGGAAAGAGATGGATGAGGACAGTAGGACGACCATACACTTGATTGTCCAAACCAGGAAATTGTTCAGACTAAAAGGAAATGCTAAAAATTATTACACCATTTAAGTTTTAATATTAGTATACTGTCTGACAAGTCGGTTTTATTATATTGATGATCTAAAATTTCAAAGTAAAACACACTCTTTACCAAGTTTCTTGAGAAAAGAAATTCATTACTTAAGTTTTAATCAAACGTGAATTTTCATTTTTTGCAGTGCCTTGCTTCTAGAACAACAGGTGTGTACCTAGTTAAGTCCTAGGTAACTGATAACATCATCCAAGAAGAGGAGGGGCAAACAGGAGGCTTCCAAGGTAACAGAGAACTTCTACCTCTTACATCTGAGTAGTGGGGACACACAGTTTGCCAACCCTTGCCTTACACCATATATACAGTTTATAAATATTTTTTTTTCTATCTATCTAACATTTAAGTCAAACTGTTTAAAAGCAAACAAGAAAAGGACATACTTAACACACAAGGTCTCATGTAATATCCATCCTTTAATTTGGGATCTTCAGGTACAAAGACGTCTCCACCACATAACACTTTAGCACCCTGCCAAAAAAGAAAAGAAGAATGCATACTTTGTGGTAAACATACAGCCTCAATAGGCATTCTGGAAATGCTCCCTGTGCCCTGAACAAATGCCCACTTAAGTCATTCTACTGCAAGTGCAGTGCAGGATACGGCTCCCAAATGGACAAGGCCAGAGGAGAGGGCACAGAGCAAGTAACCCAGGGGTAACTGCCCTTCCCCTCATCTCATCGCGCCTCTCCTTGTTTCTCACCTGCTCCTTCGCCACCTTCACAAACCCGAGGACTCGCTCCAGGTGTGGCCGGTTGATGAGGGGACCCATCCTTGTGTCTTCCAGAAGTGGATCTCCAATTTTTATCCTTTGGGTCTGTTTCACCACTTCCTCTGTAAATTGGTCAAGAATGTCCTTTTGCACAAATACCCTTGTACCATTACAACAAACCTAAAAACAGACACCAATTATATGTAAGTGAGGGGTAAAGAACTTCCCCAGTGGCTCAGCAGTAAAGAATCTGGATGCAATGCAGGAGACACAGGAGACATGGGTTCAATCCCTGGGTCGGGAAGATCTCCTGGAGGAGGAAATGGCAACTCACTCCAGTATTCTTGCCTGGGAAGTCCCATGGGCAAAGGAGACTGGAGGGCTACAGTCCACGGGGTCACAAAGAGTCAGACATGATTGAGCACAGCACAAAGCGGGGAAAAAAGGAAAAGGGAAAAAAATCCAGCAGCTTTAAATTTAAAAGAAACAGGGGACTTCCTGGTGGTCCAGTGGTTAAGACTCTGTGATCCCAATTCAGGGGGCATAGGTTCAATCCCTGGTTGGGGAACTAGATCCCACATGCTGCAGCTAAGATCCTGTGCAGCCAAAAAAAAAAAAAAAAAAAAGAAATTAAAATAAAAGAAACAGTATACTGTCTTTAAAAGTTAGTTCCATTTCTAAAAAATTATCACCATACTGAACAGGATCACACATGTAATTGAAGGGAGACCACCCTACACACAAACTCTCTGCCCATTGAAATAAAAGTTAAGCCTTTGTTTCTGTTTAAATTTCCTTAAGACAATTAAGAGATCTACATGATTCGTAAGACTTCTCCTATCTTCTCATCTCAGGTGCTCAATTTGGTTGTATATTTTGAGAACAGGAGGTTATGAGTAGAAGGAACTAAGAACTGAGATCCCATATCTCTACTATTTAGAGTCTAATAAAAATCTAGAGCATTTCATAGTCAATGTTTGTCTCTAAAATCACAAATAATGAGGAATTCCCTGGTGGTCCAGTGGTTAGGACACCATGCTTTCACTGCTGGGTTACAGGTTCAATCTTTGGTCAGGGAACTAAGTAAGATCCTACATCCTATGCGGTGCAGCCAACAAAATAAAATAATAAATTAAAAAATAAGATCTCAATTTAAAATAAAGTGAATATCATAACCATATTGAAGGGAGTGGTGAAGGAAGAACTGACTCATTAATTTCTGAACACAGATTTTAACTATATACCCTTAGGCTAAAACCAAAAAGAACTATAGAAAGAAGGTTGCAAGCTAGTTAGGAAGGTATATTTTTCACAGTAATGCAAGTACAAATCTGAAACTATTATCAACATATTCTAGGACTGAGCAATTACATGTATTGTCAGTAATGGATGCTAAATGTTTCACTATCAGAGAAGGAAATTATGAACATGGAAGGGAGGAGGCTAAAATAAACCTTGCAACATTGGAATGATTGGAAATATCTGTATAAACATATAGTTATTAATCAGACAGATATAAATAGATATGTGTGTACATACATACACATATGCCAAATATCAATATGTATTTCCTGGCTCTGGACTCTGAGAAGACCCAGAAGCAATAATACTCCAGCAGAAACAAGTATATCTGGCATCCAGATCTTCATTTCTAAAAACCATTTACCATTAAATGGAATCAAGTCTTCTTAGAGAAATAGCTTATTCCAGAGTTCCACCACAGAAAGCACAAGATGTGTTTAGAACACCTTGCTATGCCAGGAAATAAAACAGTGCTCAAAGAATAATGGGGACATATCAAAAAGTCACAGAAAGAGGCTCCCGTGAGCAGAATCTTCAATTATTTGAGCATCAAAATTAATAATAGTAACTCACAGACTGAGGTAAGAATCCATAGGTTCATGCTGATAAAAGTAAATGAATGAAAAAAACAAACTAGGGAGATGGAGGAAAAAGTTCTTTCTTGCAATAGGCAGTAAACTAAATAAATGTCGAAGGAATAACAGAATTGGAAAATCACCACTTGGTGACCACCAGAAAAAAAGGTTCTAGGGAACATCAAAGGGTGCTAAAACTAGTTTGATAAGGAACAAGGTAGTCTCACTTGATCTACTACAAGACACTTATTAACCTCAAAGGAAAAAACAGCAACTTCACTGTAAAGACCCACCTTAAGTGGGTGATCAAAGTCAACGACACCACTGTAAAATACCACTTTTTGTGGCGTTTTGACAAAAATCCATAAACTAAATCCAATTTAAAAAAAAACTAAACTAAACAGACCCAAAATGAGGAACATTTTACAAAATAAATGGGATGATTCTTCTAAAATGTCAAGGTATTGAAAGATCAGAATGACTTTAGAACTATTCCAGATTAAATGAGATTAAAGAGACACCACAAGTAAATGCAACACATCTTCCTGGATTAGATCTTGAACCAGCAAAAAAGCAGCTGTTTCTAAAAGGACATTAGTCAAACAAATGCAGAAATCTGAATAAGGGTTATGATTGAATAACAGTACTACATTAACACCAAGTTACAGATTCTACTAACTGTATTGTGCTTATTTAAGAGAAGGCAATAGGCTTCCCTGGTGGCTCAGATGGTAAAGCATCATTTTCAATGCAGGAGACCCTGGTTCAATCCCTGGGTTGGGAAGATCCCCTGGAGAAGGCACTTTCAGCCCACTCCAGTACTCTTGCCTGGAAAATCCCATGGACAGACGAGCCTGGTAGGCTACAGTCCATGGGGTTGCAAAGAGTCAGACTTCACTTTCACTTTTTTTTGAGAAATACACATATGAATGGAGAGGTTAGGGATCTTCCATTTGCAACTTTCAAACAGTTCAGAAAAATATAGTAATATGCATATGCATGCACAGACAGTAAGTGAAAAGTGAAAGTGTTAGCTGCTCAGTCGTGTCCAACTCAGATCTCCTGAGTTGATTGAGATTGAGTTGATTGAGAATCTGCAGGCAGATTCTTTACTGTCTGAGCCATGAAGGAAACCCAGGCAAAGACAGACAGAATGGTAAATGTGATAAAAAGTGAACATTGAAGAACCTGGTTCAAAGGTATATGAGAATTCTTTGTATGATCTGTGCAACTTTTCTGTAAGCCTGAAATTATTTCAAAATAAGAAGCTTTAAAACATGCTGTGGGAGGTTCAAAAGGGAGGGGATATATGTATACCTAAGGCTGATTCATGTTGAGGTTTGACAGAAAACAACAAAATTCTGTAAAGCAATTAATTATCCTTCAAAGTAAAAAATAAATACATTAACAAAAACCAAAACACATGCTGTGACACGAAAGGCGCAGACACCCTCACACCTCCTTCAGGGCCGGGCACACACCTCGCCTTGAGTGAGGAAGTTGGCCATCAGCGCCCCTTTTGCAGCGTTCTTCAGGTCACAATCCGAGAAAATGATGAGCGGAGACTTGCCTCCAAGCTCCAGGGTAACCGGTTTGATTCCTTTAGCAGACATCTCCATGATCTTACAGAACAAGAACAAAAGCAGCGAGAAGTTTAACACCCATGAGATTACATGCTAGGTTAAGCAGACCGTGACCCTGAAAACTCGTGTTGAACTACCTGTGACCTGCAGTCTTGTTCCCAGTACACTCTGTCCTTAGTCTACTTGAAGTGTTCTTTTCCAGAACACTGAAGAGAATCTACAGAATTGCATATTCTTCAGAGGGAGTTCATTTAAGACAACCTGTCAACTCATCTGTCATCGGCAGAAATGCTTTTGTATTGCTGTAACTGTGTTCCAGGCTGACAGAACTCAGAGCACAAATTAAGGTCAAAATGATGAATCTGAACACACTGGGAAAACACCCTTTATTCAGAGGCAGCAGCTACAGATGAGGTTAAGTGACCAAAGAATACAAGTGGCAGCCCGGGGTCCGACCTCTCAGACACAGGCAGAAGACGACTCCCATCCCCAGCTGAGCTGCACTAACTGCTCCTTCCCACTTCTCGAGTCCACTTCAGACCTTGGCCCAATAACACGTACAGCCTCCCTGCCAATGCAAGCCAGGCAAAATCAGAGGATAAGCCTCCAACACACACTCTGGGGAGGCCTGACACGGCCACATCTAGATGCCACAGCCAGACGCCCCTACTGGTTTCGTCTTCACCTTTGAGCCGGTGGGCACACTTCCAGTGAAGGAGACCTTGGCCACATCACGATGCTGACACAGAAGCTGGCCTGTAGCAGCCCCTCCTTGCACCACGCTGAACAGCCCAGGAGGGACTCCAGCCTCAGTATAGATCTCAGCCAGCAGCAACACCGACACGGGCGTGAAGGGGGAAGGCTTAAAGACCATGGCGTTACCTGCATCGCCGAGACAAAAACACAGAAAGACTTTGAAGACTGGAGATCCTCTGAAGACAGGACAAGGAGGACACATCAAGAACAGCTCCAACTGAGAAATACTGTGTGATAACCCTTATATGGGGAATCTAAAAAGAAATGGGACAAATGAACTTATTTATAAAATAACAGAAACAGACTCACAGACTTGGAAAGCTAACTCATGGCTGCCAGTGGGGAAGGATGGAGGGAAGGGATAGTTAGGAAGTTTGGGATCAACATGTACACACTGCTATATTTCAAACTGATAACCAGCAAGGACCTACCGCAGAGCACCCGGAACTCTACTCACTGTTATATGGCAGCGTGGGTGGGAGGGGAGTTTGGGGTGGAATGGATACATGTATATGTGATTGGCTGAGTCCCTTCACTGTTCACCTCAAACTATCACAACATTGTTAATCAGCTACATGCAATATAAAATTAAAAATTAAAAAAAACAACCCTAATTGTTTCCTGTTTCCCATCAAATGCTAGGCCAAAAAATATTATTAATAAGTGAAAGTGAAATCATCCAGTCGTGTCCGACTCTTTGCGACCCCATGGACCATGACCTATCAGGCTCCTCCGTCCATGGGATTTTCTAGGCAAGAGTACTGGAGTAGGTTGCCATTTCCTTCTTCTATTAGTAAGTAAACCTATCTTGTTCTTCCCTCCTTAGTTTCTCTCGTGAAACAGACCAAGCCACACACTCGCAATGTCTCAGCTACTAATGCCTTATATACCTACAGCTTTTCACATATGTTAACCTCATTCAACATTCACAACAGCAGTAGGAAGTAGGCATGCTTAGACCCATTTTATAAAAGCTGAAACTGAAGACAGAAAGGTTAAGTGATTCGATGAGAGTCCGCAAGGCTAGTAACTTAATCCTATTTCTCCTCTATCACAGAGAAATGTGCAAAGTGAACATGAAGCAACATCAAGAAAAAAGCTGCATTTCAATACAGTGTCTTAATACTAGAGCTCTTTTACCCTGAGAGCTTTTTCTAAGACATAATGTCTTCTTTTCCCCCAGATTCTTCTCTTTAAATAGTGTAAGAAATCTTTTTGTTAATCAACCAAAGCTTCTCTAATGGAAACCTTGTCTTTCTGTCTTAAGACACAAATGAAGAAGCTGACCTTCTGCTTCCTAAATGAAGTCAAACTCCCAAGTGCTACCTGCTATACAGAAATTGATGCTCAGAATTCTAGTCCATAAAGGAAGAGAACTTACAAGTAGCACAAATCTAATTCATTGGACAGTTAAAATAATAATAATAATAATAAAATCTCCAAGACCAAAATTAACTTTCTTCCTTCCCATAAACAAAAATCAATAAAAATGGGAATAATGTATAACCTCAAAGCTCCCCAGGGGGCAGGGCAGGGGTGAAATCATGCCAGGGAGAAAGGGTAGCTCACAGGCGGAAGAGTAATCCATTCTTACCACAAGCCAGAGCCGGAGCCGACTTCCAGCAGGCGATCTGAAAGGGGTAGTTCCACGCTCCTATTCCAACACACACCCCTAGTGGTTCCCTTCTGGTGTAGCCAAAGGACCCACCGGGGAGCTGGATGTGCTCGCCTGAGGGGACAAAGAGGACAGAGAGCAGTGTAGGGCCGCCTGTCCCGAGAGCTCGCCAGCACCTGGACTCACTCTGGCCTCCAGTCAGACCACCCTCCTCCATCCCCCAGCCCCTGGGCTCACCGTGCCTCTGGCCTTTTGTTCATTATAGTTATTCTTACACTGCTTCTGCATGTTCTCTCCACATAAAGAATCCTTACTATCCTTCAAGCTAACGTTCTTTCAACTCAATATAATCCTCTAAAAACTTACCAAGCATCTGCTACGTGACTCAGATGAAATGGAACAGAAATGGGGAAAGACTTGGCAGCTAAACAGTCCAAGGACCCTGAACCTCAGCCTTCTCACTCCCCACTGACCTCCTGGGCCTGGCTAACCCAGCCAACATGTGAACTGATGGACACTTCCTAGACAGTAAAAGAAAATTTTTTGCTGAGTAAGTAAAACTAATAAATATGATGTACTCACTGAGTCTTGCAAGAACTGGTTTTTCCACAACCTTGTCTACACCTCAGCTAAAAGGTTAGGTGCTTTATATATTGGGTTGGGCAAAAAGTTTGTTCAGGTTTTTCCATACAATGCTATGGAAAAACTACAACCCAATACATCATCTCATCTAGTCCTTCTAATAACCAAGAAGATAGGGACGACCTTCCATTTAAATAAAGATACAGTAATTCTCAGTGACACCCAAGTAGAGAGTGTTAAGTCCAAGATTCTAACTCAGGTTTGTCTTAATTCCAAAATCTGTCCCCTACTCCTCCAGGCTCTGCTCCCAGCTTCCTTTGAGCTGGGCTTACCGGCCATGGACCCCGCCAAGCCTGCATAGTACTCCAAGCACTGCCAGGAAGTGTCAATGTCCCAGCGGGCCTCAAAGATGGACTTCCCATTGTTGATCGTCTCCACAGTGGCAATGTCATCCCGTCGTTCCTTTGGGCAAAACAGAGGGCCAGACTGAAGACAAATTACCATACACCTCAACATGTTCAACAATCAAAACAGAACACATTGCCTAATTTTTAAAAACAGTAACAGCTTGAACTCCCAACAAAAAGGAATGGTTGTGACATCTGGAAGAGATGAAAGTTATTGCTAAACAGTACCCTGTTCTCCCCATCAAGTAAGGGTCACAGAACCAAGACCAACACCTCATTCCAAGATTAATTAGAAAAGGACTGTTTTGAGAAATATTATATATGTACTCCTGCACAAATATGTACAGATATTTGTGCATGAGGTTTTCCTGGTGGCTCAGACAGTAAAGAATCTGCCTGCAATGCAGGACACCTGAGTTTGATCCCTGGGTCAGGAAGATCCCCTGGAGAAGGGAATGGAAACCCACTCCACTATTCTTGCCTGGAGAATTCCATGGACAGAGGAACCTGGAGGAATGCAGTCCATGGGGTCGCAAAGAGTCAGACAAGACTGAGCAACTAACACACTGCAAGTATACAGTAAGAATAAAGAGTCCTTAGGAAAACTATACAAAACAGCCAAACACACATCGACACAAATGGGTTTAATTCACCCAAAGAAATGCAGCATGCCAAAGTCACAAGATAATTATTTTCTAATGCTCATTACTCATCAATTGTCTTTTCAAATTCTGTTTCCAGATGTAGGTTACACAACTTAGAGGTACTACAGATGGCCCAAAAATGAACAAAAAGATTTTGGAAATTAGACCTGAAAAATTAAATAATGTGCCCAAAGGAGATGAAAAAATTGAATATGGGGGTTTCCCTGGTGGCTCAGCGGTAAAGAATCCACCAGCCAACATACAGGTTGCTACAAAAGTAATTACAATTTTGGATCATGCATTTTAAATCACTATAACTAGGCTCAAATACACCTTTACTAATCAAAATAGGAACCATGACAATCAACACATTTTTGCCAACAAGAAATAAGCTTGTTTATTCTTGTAGCATAAAAATCCATGCTTCAGGATTCAACAAACTCCTGGAAAGCATTTTCTGCTTCCTGCTGGTTGTGAAAGCATTTTCCCTGCAAAAAGTTGTCATGATGCTTGAAGAAATAGTCATCAGTTGGCAAGAGGTCATGTGAATATGGCAAATGAAGCCCAATTCTCTCAACTTTTGAAGTTTGTACAACTTTTAGTAGTACAATATGCAGTCGGGCCTTGCCATGGAGAAGAACTGGGCCCTTTCTGTTGACTAATACCAGCTGCAGGCATTGCAGTTTTCAGTGTATCTCATCAATTTGCTGGGCATACTTCTCAGATGTAGTGGTTTTGCCAGGACTTAGAAAGCTATAGTGGATCAGACCGGCTGCAGACCACCTAACAATGACCATGACCTTTTTTGGGTGCAAATTTGGCTTTGGGACGCGCTCTGGCGCTTCTTCTTGGTCCAGCCACTGAGCTGGTTGTTGCTGGTTGTCATATAAAATCCACTTTTCATCACACATCACATTCTGATCAAGAAATGGTTTGTTGTTGCACAGAATATGGGAGGACAACACTTCAAAACGACGATTTTTTAAATTTTTGGTCAGCTCATGAGGCCCCCACTCATCAAGTGTTTTCACCTTTCCAATTTGCTTCAAACGCCAAATGAACATAGAATGATCAACTTCGAGTTCTTGTGCAGTTTCTCGTGTAGCTGTTAAGAGGATCAGCTTCGATAATGGCTCTTAATTGGTCATTGTCAACTTCCGATGGCCAGCCACTATGCTCCTCATCCTCAAGACTCTCATCTCCTCTGCAAAACCTCTTGAACCACCACTGCACTGTATATTCATTAGCAGTTCCTAGGCCAAACACGTTGTTGCAAGTTGTCTCCACTCCTTATGACCCATTTTGAACTCTAATAAAAAAGTCACTCAAATTTGCTTTCTGCCTAACACCATTTCTATAGTCTAAAATAAATATAAACAGCAAGCAATAAGTCATTAGTAAAAAAAAAACACACAAAGAGAGAAATGCACATTAAAATGATATATAACATAATCACATTTAAGAAAGTAATCCAGGATCAAATGGCAAAGTTCAACAATGCAAAACTGCAATTACTTTTGCACCAACCTGTGTCTCCTAGACACAGGTTCGGTCACTGATCGAGGAAGATGCCACATGCCATGAAGCAACTAGGCCTATGCGCCACAACCACTGAGCTATGGTCTAGAGTTGGGGAGCGGGAACTACTGGGTCCACGTGCCATAACTGCTGAAGCCCATGCACTCTGGAGCCAACGCTCTGCAACGAGAAGCCACTGAAATGAGAAGACGGCATGCTGCAGCGAAGCAGCCCCGGATCAGCGCAGCTGGCGAAGAGTCCTCACAGCAACAAAGACGGAGCACAGCCAAGAGTAAATGAACTTAGTTAGAAAATCTGAATATGTAAGAAACAGGCATTTGTTATTACAGATCCGATTTTAATTTAAAAAACGTGGTCAAAATCTGTACATAAAACATGAATTGAACAACTGACAAGGAAAAGATGAATCTCTTACTAAAAGTGACAATCAGTATGGCTGACCAGAAGCAAAATGAAATGGCAACAGAAATTAGCACAAGTGTCTAACACAAGTGTCTAACAGGTGCAGATCTCAGAAAGCATGGACAGATGAAATACGGGAAAGGGCGCTTCGATAATGATAATCAGACATGGTCTATTTCTACAAAGACCGGAGGTATGAAGTGCTTTGATTCATTCATTCCACATTTGCTGGATTCCAGAAAAGATGACAGAGTAGGACCTGAGCTCACCTCCTTCCAGGAAAACACCAAAATCACAAACTAACTGCTGAACAGCCATCAACAAGAAAGATCAGAACCTACCTAAAAAGCTATTCTGCATCCAAAGACAAAGAAGTCACAACAAGATGATGGGGGCAGTACACTGGTAATCTAGTCAAGCCCCATACTCCCCAGGTAGGCGACCCACAAATTGGAAAATAATTATATTGCAGAGGTTCTCCCACCGGAGTGAGAGTTCTGAGCCCCACGTCAGGCACCCCAGGCTGGAAGGCTGGCATGAGGAGGAGGAGCCCCCAGAGTGTTTGGCTTTGAAGAACAGCAGGTCTTAACTAAAGGGACCCCACATGAGTGGAAGAGATAAAAAACTCCACTCTTGGAGGACGCACAGAAGATCTCATGCACACCAGAACCCAGCGAAAAAGCAGCGAGTGGCTCCACAGGAGCCTGGGTCAGACCTACGTGCTGGTCTTTGTCTCCTGAGAAGGCGGAGGGTGGCTGGCTTTAGTTTACAGTGGGGACGAGGACATCAGCGGCAGAGGAACCACAGAATACTCACCGGCACGAGCTCTCCTGAAGGCTGGTATTTTGGCACCAAGACCTGGTCCCCCAACAGCCTACAGGCCCCAGTGCTGGGATGCCTTGGGCCAAACAACCAAAAGGGCGGAAACACAGCCCCATCCATCAGCAGAGAGGCTACCTGAAGGCTACCTGAGCCTAACGCCACCTCTAGACACATTCCCTGACACGGCCCTGCCCACCAGAGGGATAAGACCCACCAGTAGGCAGGAACCAGTCCCTCCCCGCAGGAAGCCTGCACAAGCCTCTAAACCAGCCTCATCCATGAGGCGCAGATGCTAGGAACAAGAGGAACAACTCCCCTGCAGCCTGCAGAATGGAGGCCACAAACACAGAGACTTAGACACAGGAGACAGCACAGAAATATGTTCCAGATGAAGTAACAGCATAAAACCCCAGAACAACAATGAAGGGAAGTGGGGCTGGACAATCATTTCACACTTTTACTAAGAAAAGAAGGACAGATCCAGTTTCTTCCTTCAAGGAGCTCACTTCTTAAAAAGGAAGTTAGTAAGTTCTAAACAAATTCTGCAATTACTGAGTAGACATGTTTCTTCAGAAAGGATGATTTTTTTACATCCAAACATAGTCTAAATTAAATTGCCTTTCAAACCAACAATTTACCTTCTCTTTCCTGATTCTATACTCACCAAAACAGCTTTTTAACAATTAATTTGTTTCCCAGTTACTGATACTGGAAAGAGGGTACCTAGGAAGACAAGAAGCCATCAGTTCTGATGTAACAGTTCTTTAACCAGCTGTGAATCATCCCACTTCTCGGATGTATTGAGTATGATCAATGTAAAACACATTTTCAAAAGGCATGATCAACCACAAGTGACTTAAACTTCATCTCTATAATGCAAGAGGGGAACTAGCCCCTAAAGAGGAAGTAGGTACCAGTTCACTAACCAGCATAAACACACTGATAAAATCAGTGTTACACCTCAAACACATGAAGAAATATTAAACTGGCAAAAGTGAAATGCTGTTGTCTTCCACACTAATACAAGTGTGAACAGACAGAAAGTAATCTGTGACTATTGCTGAAAAGCCTTGGAATATTTACTAAGAAAGGAAGTTTCATTAAGATTTTTTTTTTCCTTTGGTAAAGAATGGACAGGCAATTAGTTTTGAGGACTGTTTCAGGGTTTCAACTCAAAGAGAAAATTCAATCTATTGGCTGGTCTTTTGAAATTTTTCCTGTCTTATTCCAACATCCTCTATCCTCATGCAAAAGGTTATTTCTAAAAAGCCACTGTGGGGCCTTCTGACGGACCTTACAAGGACCATAAAAAAGACCCTGATGAGACCACCAAGCAGTCGCAGCGAGTCTCTAACATGTAACACTGCATTCAGGGAGATGGGGGTCCTTCACCCTCGTGGGGTAAGGAGGGCAGACGGGAAGGGGAAACAATGCAAGTTCCCTGCCCCTTCTAGGTTCAAGAGCCACCTTAAAACAAAACTGTCCACCATGACAATGCACTGCTACAAGCATCTCTGGGGAAACATGTGCTTCATATCTACCCAATCCTTTTCTCGGCCACCCTGCTTCTCATGTGACCTGACCACGGGTCCATTGGATGAAAGGGAAGAAGAAAAGCCCCATCCCCCTCCTCCATTTCAAACTGCCAAGCAAGCTTAAGTGTCTAGCTTTTATAAAAGAACCGCATGAGCAAAGACATGCCCATTAAACCTTAGTAAGCCTGAGCCCCTGCTTGCTTCAAGAGGCAGAGCTGAGCAAAAGAGTGCCTGAAGGCAAGTGCATAATCTACACACGCAATCTTTTCTATATGTAAATAGTGTTAAAATACATTACAGTTTTAAAATACATCTTCTCTCTCCTTTTAAAGCTACATGATAGTTACTTTCCTAAGGAGGCTCCAACTTAGAAATGATTGGCACCTACCATTAAGATCTTTACAATTTGATAAAAAGCATCAAAAGATTCAAAGTGAAAAGGGAAATGTAAGACTAATACGCATACAGAAAACTGTTCATTTCACTAGGAGTCAATGGGCTTCCGGCTAAGGTAGAGTAATAGGGATCAGATTTAGGCTCCATCTTTGAGCAACTAAAAATACCAGATAAAGTACACAAAACAACAATTTTTACAAAACAACAATTTTCACAAAACAGCAATTTTCAGACACTGAACATTGGACAGCTCAGGACAGTGATCCTGGGAGAAGGAAACAAATGAGGTGAGCCTACATGTGTTCTTGCCTGCTGCCTGGAAAGAGTCTCTATCAGAGAGCCAGTAAGAGGGCCTTAGGTGGGGCCCAACAGATACTCTGAGTTGAGGAAACAGGTTGGGAGTTCAAGGACTATGTGATGGCTGCAGTATTTACTCTAGGTATAGGAGAGAAGAGAGCTGCACAGAAGAATCCCAGAGATCCCCCTTAAGCCTTCATCTGAGAACTGGTCAGTGTGAGGACACCACCCAAGGCTAGGAAAAAACTAACCAAGAAGGTGTAAAAAATATCCCCAGAACTCACACAGGGGCATGAATAGTTCATATACCCACCAGCCACATTAAGAAAAACCTCACTAGTACACAGAGCATCAAGCTAGGTATTCAGAAGGGTATTCAATAGTGGGGGAAAATTAGCTGTTCTGATCACACCTAACAAAGCCCAGAAACAAGTCTTGCAAGGATCAAACTAATTCCAAGTTAACTTCACTGTGTCCCAGAGCAAAGCTCATTAATAAGTTTTAAAGTATAAGAATATTCAGCATCCAACACATAAAATTCACAATGTCTAGTGATAACGAATTACTAGACATGCAAAAGATAGGAAAGTTATATAACTTTTAACCAGGAGGAAAAAAAACCAGTCATGAAAAACAGCAAAGTTATATAACATCTAACCAGGAGGAAAAAGTCAATCAATAGAAACAGATCCAGAACTGGCAGATGTCACAATTAGCAGATGGGGATATTAAAAGTTATTATTACTATATTCCATGTTTTCTAGAAAGTAGAGGAAAACATGAACATGTTAAGGAGCAACATGGAACAACAACAAAAAGACTCAAATTGAACTTCTAGAGATGAAAAATACACCAGATGGGATTAACAGCAGATTAGACACTATGGAAGAAAAGGTAGATGAACTTTATGCATAACAATGGAAATTACCCAAAATGAAACACAGAGAAAAACGGGGAGAAATGAACAGATCATTAGTGAGCTGTAGAATAGTTTCAAGTAGCCCAAGGTATATGTAACTGGAGACTCTGAAGAAGAAGAAATAGAAGAGTGGGGGCAGAAGAAATATCTAAAGAAATAATAGCCAAAATTTTTCCAAATTTAACTATATATGTACAAATTCAAGAGAAACTCCAAACAAAAGAAATATAAAGAAAACTGCATCAAAAGACAATGAACTTTTTTAAAACTGGTGATAAGAAGAAAATCTTAGAAGCAGCCAGAGGTAAAAAATACTTAATAGAGGGGAACAAAAATAAGAACAACAGCACACTTCTCTTCTGAAACAAGTCAGAAGACAGCAATGCAACATCTTTAAGGTACTGAAAGAAAAAACTGTCAATCTAGCATTATTTTATCTAGAACTCTTTTTCAGAATGAAAGCAAGGACATCCCAGTGGTAAAGAATCCGCCTGCAATTCAGGGGATATGCCTTTGATCCCCGGTCCAGGAAGATTTCACATGCCTCGGGGCAACTAAGCCCAGGCGCCACTCCAGAGCCCGCAGGCTTCGCCTGCTGAGCCCTAACAACAGCAGCAACTGAAGCCTGCAAGCCCTAGGGCCCCTGATCTGCAACACAAAAAACCACCGCAGTGAGAAGCCTGCACACTGCCAGCTAGAGGGCAGCCCCTGCCTGCAGCGACTAGAGAAAGCCCACACACAGCAGTGAAGACACAGCACAGCCAAAAATACACACGAATTTTAAAGCTAATGTAAATACACGAATAATGAAAGTGAAATAAAGACTTTCAGACACACAAAAGTTAAAAGAACATCCCTAGCAAATCCACACTATAAAACATGCTAAAGAAATCTCTCCAAGCAGAAAAAACAACGGTAACACAGACATCTGGGCCTTCCCAAAGGAATGGAGAACACGAGATATGCTAAAATGTGAGTAAATGTAAATGTTTTTATCTCATAGAAGATAATTGTGCATAGTTTAAAAATGGAACAGGCAAGGAACTATAGATCATGATTAACTAGAAATATCACTGAAAGAAAACAACCAAGGGCTAAATTGTAGGTTGTGGTCAGAGGGTGGGATCTGTTCAGTTATAGAATAATCTTAGGTAAAAGTAGATCCAGGGCTTTCCTGGTGGCTCAGGGCTAAAGAATCTGCCTGCCAATGCAGGAGATGCAGGTTTGATCATCAGTCCAGGAAGACCCCCTTGAGAAGGAAATGGCAACCCACTGTAGAATTCTTGCCTGGGAAATCCCATGGACAGAGACGCCTGGAGAGCTAAAGTCCATGGGATTGCAAAAAGTCAGATAGGACTTAGTGACTGAACAAAAACAACAGCAAAGGTAGATTCAGGGCATGATCATCAGACAAGAGCTTTCGAGAAAGACAGTAATATATTTTTGACTGTAAAAATATAATATAAAATATTAAAGAAAATGGAATGAAGAGTTTAAAGGAAAAGAAAATTAACATTAGATAGTCAATTCAGAGCAAAAAAAATAGGTACTACTCAGGATTTTAAAAATAATTTTATAATAAGAGCCAGTTTTTAAGAAGGTAAAACAACCCAAATGCTTATGCACAAGCAAAAGTGAGAGGCAAATTAGAATAATAAATTATCAGCTTTGAGTTGCTACTTTTAATCTACCAAATTAAAAATAAATTTTGATAAAAGAAAATACCTTGTTGGGAGAAAACTGACCAAGAACATTTTGACATTAGTGCATGGTGCAGGCTTTCTGCAAAGGCCACTGGCAAGCAAGCTGACTGAAAAGTAAAGGCCTTGGAAGGCAGAGACAGCATCTCCCTAAAGATGGAGGTCTCTGAAAAGATGTGGAAACATAAAGCTCTCTACTTCCTGTTCTTGGAGACATCTGCTTACATTCCAGGGTAATAGATCTAGTGATACCTTTCCCCTTAACCTTGGAGATCTGCTCAGTGAGTAACACCTCATTAACCTTAACAAGTAACCTTTCTCCAAAGGAGAGAATGGTCAGATGTGCCCCTTATAAGTTGAGTCTCATAATTTTAGGGTTCCTCTCCTACAATGCTACCCACTGTATGCAACAGGATAACATCTGACTTTTATTGGATCACCCCATGAGGACTGGGGCTCAGAAAACTAGTGCTAAAGTATTTTACTGTGAGTAATAAACTCTCTTTCTCTCTCTAATCCAGAAAACTTTATGTTTCTTGTCAGAATACCCATATAACCTTGCAAACAGGGTAACTCTCAGTCCCCCAGTTTCTGACATAACACACTGATAAGGAAAAAAATCATCACAGTCCTATGCTGAGAGATATCCCTGATTTACATTTTGGTGTATATCCTCTGAATTTTCTAATTTTCTGTAAAGACAATCTAGTACTTTTGCCTTTTAAGACTGTAAAAAGCTAAACTTTATTTCATAAGAGGGGAACAGGAATGAATTTATGAAATATTCCAGGCAACTAAGGCAGAAAATTAACCTGAAAAAGAAAGTGAACTTGAAGAGTCATCAGAGGAAACAGTAAAAAGGGAACAAGTACACACAGTTAAAAAGAAAAGGAGACAAGCTACAAAGGCTACATTATCACTACAACAAAGAAGGAAAAGAAAGCCTGCCCAGGGAGCTGTCACAAGGAGCCAAGAGCCAGAAAGAAATCACTGAAGGAAAGCTTGTTGTACATACCAAGGTGAGCATATAGAAATGTTTTTGGATCTCATCATTAAAAGGTATCACTTAATAATGCATCAGTTTAATTGCAAATCATCACACACAAAAAAAATCACAGAGCAACGCAAAAGGACTTTTCTGGAAGAGATTAAATTAAAACATACCCTTATTATCCTGGCAGCCTCCAAAAGGATTCGGCAACGCTCCATGCCAGATTTTTTACTCCATATTTTAAAGGCAGCCTTTGCATCTTGAACAGCCAAATTTACTTCCTTTTCTCCTGAACATGTGAAAGTAGCTATCACTCTACCTATAAATACAGGGAAAGTCAGTGTTAAATTTCAAATGTTTGCCACATATTTTAAATAAAGTATTGTGTATCCATTTTCCTTTTAGTGATCCTCTTCCTGTTTTTAAGTATAGTCTGATTTAGTGACTACCCCTAAACCAACAGCTTATCTTTTAAAGAATCTAATAACAGTTGAAGACTTGTCTTCAGAAAAATGTACTGACTGTGTCTCTTGCCTAGCACACCTTGAACTTTGGGGTAAGAACTCCTGCCCTCCTCGATTTTACACTTGGGTTTACTAACGTTAACTTCCTGTCAATTATTTCACAATGCTCCTTAACAATGTTTCATAATCTCAGGGGTCCTGCAAAATCAAAGTATTCAGTCTCCTGGGTTATGAACTCTGATTTTAAATCACTGGTCTGTGTTCTATGTAAGTCATATAATACTACTGATACTTGATGAACATGGTTAATAAATAGAATATCAAGAAAAGATATTCCTAAAAGACAAGAAAATTTTTTTTCTCAAATATGAGGGAAAAAAATCCCAATCTCAAATTTTCTTGTTTTTGTTGTTTAGTCACTAAGTCACGTCCAACTCTTTACGACCTCATGGACTGTAGCCTGCCAGGCTCCTCTGTCCATGGGATTTTCCAGGCAAGAGTACTGGAGTGGGTTGCCATTTCAAAGTCCAGGGGATCTTCCAGAACCAGGGATCGAACCCACATCTCCTACATTGGCAGGTGCATTCTTTACCACTGAGCCACCTCAGAAGCCCATTTCATTTTCTTACTTCAATCCTATTCCCTACACTGGGCAAAATATGAAATGATCAGTTTTTCTAGACCCAAATCCTAAGGGTTGTGACTGACACTACTAAAAAGAAATCAGTTAAGGGTTTCCCCTCCCACAAGAACATTTGGGACTCTGCTTTTTCCAGAGATTTCACAAACCTGTAATTTTTATTATAAATTTGAGTAGCCAATTGATAGAGGCCATGGCTAAGAGTCACACATCACATACTGTAGGCAGTTAAAATAAAGAGTAATTTTTCTTTCTTTTGTGTCAATATGGGAGTGGGAAATCAAGAGGCCTAAAGGATTAGAGCCTGATGGTGGCTGTGGACCCTTCCTGCTCTGACTAGTCGCTGCTCTGTGGTTTACTGTAATTGATCACACCTAAATTCTTCAGTCTCTTGAAATTCAGTTTGATCCCTCTGGGGATATACTATTTGATTTGCACAAACATTTATATTTCTCTCCTCGTAAACATTAAACCTACCAAAACAAGCAAAACAAAAACAAAAAAACCTCTTCCTCATTTGCTTTGTGATCTTTGGAGTTTCCAGGGCCTGGCACAGTGCTTGGCACACATCAAGCACTGGATAAAAGCAGAATTTTTTATTTCCCTTTCTCAGCTTTGGTTCGTGTCCGGAAATACTTTAACACTACGGGACGGCAACAAAGTAATCATGCACGCTCATTACAACCATCTGTGCATGCTCCTCCATTTTGGCACAAGTATTTCTTTTCACCCTGTCCTTCTAGAACTCTTCTAAGTGCACCGTTGGAGACATTACTGAGGTCCTACCTTTAAAATTTAATAATTAACACAAAGACACTACCTTACCCACCGGGGCTCTGTGGACTCTGTTCAGGCGGTTGTGAAATTAACCCTGACCCCACCGCGCAACTCACGAGCTGCTCCCCTTTTCTACGACTCCTTCCTGCCCCGGTCCAGATGCTCCCGTGTTTGCGCAGCATCCTTAGCTGCCTACACAGATAACTTTATACTCTACACCATCACTTCAGTTCAGTTCAGTTCGGTCGCTTAGTCGCGTCCGACTCTTTGCGACCCCATGAATACCCGTGCTCAATAAGCATCTGTTCAATGCACTACACGAAGGTTCAGAAGTTAGAATAGGTTTCACCCCTGGGGCGGGGGGGCGTCAATTCGCGCCACAGCCTCGCCCCTACCCTGGCTCCCGCCGCGTCCCTCGACCCGTCCCTAGCGCCTGGTCTCCGACCCGTTACCGGTTGCAGGCTCGAAAGCCTTCTCGGTGCCGGAGGCGTCCACAGGCTCCACGCGGGCCCCGCCGCGGTAATTGAGCGGCTGCGACACGACGAAGGTGCCAGTGCTCATGGCGGCGATCGGAGCAGAAGCAAGCCTGAGGGTGGGAGAAAGTGTAGACAGCGCAGCCAGGCCAGCTCGGAGAAACATGGGGGGCAGGGGCGGCGGAGTGGGCCAAGCCTGAGGGGCGGGGCCAGGGAGGGGCGGGGCAACATGAGGCCTGGGGCGTGGGGTAGCGGGGAGCGGCGGGGGTCACGGAAGGGGCGAGGTCGCCGGAGGGGCGGGGCAGTGGGAGGCGGAGCAATATGAGGCCTGGAGGCGGGGCAGCGGGGAGGCGGGGGCAGTGGGAGGGGCGGGGGCAGTGGGAGGGGCGGGGGCAGTGGGAGGGGCGGGGTCACGGGAGGGAAGGGGCTTCGGGAGGCGGGGCAATATGAGGCTTGGGGGGTGGGGCAGCGAAGAGGCGGGGCAGTGGGAGGGGCGGGGCATCGGGAGGCGGGGCCAGATGCGGGCTGAGGGGCCTCCAGACGAGGGCCGGCCTCCTGGGTCGGAGCTTGCGGACTTTCCCGGGCGGTCAGTTGGCTAGTCCAGGCCCAGGTCCGCCCCTCGCTTAGCCTAGAGGCTGGGTGGCACACCAGAGTCTTTCACACAAACGCACGCACGCACGCACGCACACGCGCGCGCTTTCTCCCCCTCACTCTCTCATTTTTCTCTTTCTTCTTCCGGATCAGTGTTTAAAACAAGAGTTTTCAGGTACATCACAATATGTAATCAGCCTAGGGTCTTCTGATCGTTCCGTCTAAGGAGAGGAGAGGATCAGATCAGGGGTTGGGACTCCCCGTCTCCACTGCACTAGGCACCGTTGAACCCCTGATGGAGGAACTGAGATCAAAAGATCACACTTGCCACGCCAGGGCGTGTGTGTGTGTCTGTGTGTCTGTGTGTGTGTAATGAAAGAAGGTGAAAGTGTTAGTTGTTCAGTCCTGTCTGGCTCTTTGCGACCCCAAGGACTGTAGTCAGCCAGGCTCCTCGGTCCATGGGATTTTCCAGGCAAAAATACTGGAGTGGGTACCCATTCCCTCCTCCGAGGGACCTTCCCAACCCAGGCATGGGACGGCAGATTTTTTGCCGTCGAGCAACCAGGAAAGTATATATTTATTTATCTGTTTATCAATATCTCCTAGCTGAGCATGTTATAACTCTCTTAGATTATCTGGTACACATCTTCCAAACCTCAATCTTCATACAGATAATGAGGTTTACACTTCTTTCTTCTTCCAGATCAGTGTTTAAAACAGAGTTTTAAGTTCAAATAGGTAACACAGACTTTGAAAAGAGAGTTCTTTTTTTTTTTTACTTTAGCAGGAAAGCACAACAGAGAAATCTATTCCATACGACAAGCAACAGAGAAGAGTTAAATTAATCACACCATCATCAGTGACAAAGTGACTTTGTAAATTAATTTTACTTCTGAATTAATTCTCTTCACCTCTGAGTTAATTAGGTATTATGTTTGGTTGGGCTTCCCTGGTGGTACTGGTAAAGAATTTGCCTGCAATGCAGGAGACCGGGGTTCGTTCCCTGGATCAGGAAGATGCCCGGGAGGAGCATGCCATCCATTGCCATGCCATTCCAGTGTTCTTGCCTGGAGAGTCCCATGGACAGAGGAGCCTGGTGGGCTGCAGTCCACGGGGTCGCAGAGTCAGACACGACTGAGCGACTACGCAGCAGCAGCAGCAAGCTTGGCTGGATTATCAAAGGCAAAGCTCGCAGAGCTTATGTAAGAAAGGCATTGATTTCTCTATCATAGAACATGCTAAAGTGTGCAGCAAGAATACAGTGGCCCTACAGTGTTAGAAAGAGGCCCCCCGGTGCTTCTGCTCTGACACTCTCACAGGTTAATTTCTCTGTGTTCTTTCAAAGACTGCTCTCCTTTATCTTCTCATAGAGCAGCTTCAGACATATGGAGACATAGCTACCGTCTTGTATGCCATAAAAGCATCCAGACAATTCTGATGCAGGTGACTCATGTAGTCCTTGGACCACACTCAAAACAACTAAGCTATGTTTCCAAATTATGACTCTTGGAACACTGATTTTGGAAGATGTTCCTTATTTAAAAAAAAAAAGATTCTACTTAATATATCCTTCTCCTGGAAATTAACAATAATTATTAGCACATTTAGAGCTCAAGTAAGTGCTGCAGTAAAGAAATCTGTTCGAAACAAGTGAGGGAGATTAGAAGTACAAACTTCCAGTTACAAAAGAAAAGAGTCACAGGAGTATAATGTACAGCATAGGCAATAGAATCAATAATATTGCAATAACTTTTTATGGTAACATATGGCAACCAGTCTTACAGTGGTTGATCATTTTATAATGTATAGAAATATCGAATCACTCTGTTGTACACCCGAAGCTAATGTAATATTTTAAGTTGATTATACTTCAATAAAAAATAATAGAAGAAAGAAATTTGTTCAGTGTTATAACCCATGATTTCCCAATCTTATTTGAATGTAGCACTGTTTTTTCAGGTGACAACTGATAAACACTTTGGAAAATGTTTTGAAGTCAAGTTGGGAGATGAGACTTAAAGTTTAGCGAGTAAGGAGTCTTCGAGTGCAGTGTGTGCTAAGTCGCTTCTGTTATGTCTGATTCTTTGCAATCCCATGGACTATAGAGCAACAGGCTCCTCTGTTAGCTATTCTCCAGGCAAGAATACTAGAGTGGGTTGCCATTCCTTCTTGCAGGGGATCTTCCCTACTCAGGGATCGAACCCACGTCCCTTGTGGCTCCTGCATTGTAGGCAGACTATTTACCTGTGACAAGCCCCACATTTTTCTAAATTTCATGAAAATTATATATTTTCCAATCCAAGAAGTCCAATCAAGCTCAAACAGAAGAAATACTAACAAAAGTACATCAACACACGTCCTAACCAAAATTCTAGGAAACTGTGATAAGTACAAGTTCTAAAATAGGTGTTATGGAGTCCTTCTTTGAGGAATATTCAGCTTTTGCAGCCTTATTTCACGATCAGGGAGCCCAGGGTTTGTTTTAACAAAATTTTTTAGGCAAGGCTTTCTACAGCTTCTTCAGGATTCTCTCACTTCACAATTTTCAGTTCAGTCACACAATCATGTGTGACATTTTGCAATCCCATGGATTATAGCACGCCAAGCTTCCCAGTCCATCATCACCAATTCCCAGAGCTTGCTCAAAATCAATGTCTGAACATTGAACATTCTTGAGCTATTTTAAATCCTGAAAGATGATGCAATGAAAGTGCTGCACTCAATATGTCAGCAAATTTGGAAAACTCAGCAGTGGCCACAGGACTGGAAAAGGGCAGTTTTCATTCCAATCCCAAAGAAAGGCAATGCCAAAGAATGCTCAAACTACCACACAGTTGCACTCATCTCACACGCTAGTAAAGTAATGCTCAAAATTCTCCAAGCCAGGCTTCAGCAATACGTGAACTGTGAACTTCCAGATGTTCAAGCTGGTTTTATTTTAATTTTTTTTTCAAGCTGGTTTTAGAAAAGGCAGAGGAACCAGAGGTCAAATTGCCAACATCTGCTGGATCATTGAAAAAGCAAGAGAGTTCCAGAAAAACATCTATTTCTGCTTTATTGACTAAAAGCCAAAAGTCAAAGCCAAAGCCTTTGACTGTGTGGATCACAATAAACTGTGGAAAATTCTGAAAGAGATGGGAATACCAGACCACCTGACCTGCCTCTTGAGAAACCTGTATGCAGGTCAGGAAGCAACAGTTAGAACTGGACATGAAACAACAGACCGGTTCCAAATAGCAAAAGGAGTACGTCAAGGCTGTATACTGTCACCCTGCTTATTTAACTTATATGCAGAGTACATCATGAGATACACTGGGCTGGAAGAAGCACAAGCTAGAATCGAGATTGCCGGGAGAAATATCAATAACCTCAGATATGCAGACGACACAACCCTTATGGCAGAAAGTGAAGAAGAACTAAAGAGCCTCTTGATGAAAGTGAAAGAGGAGAGTGAAAACATTGGCTTAAAGCTCAACATTCAGAAAACTAAGCTCATGGCATCTGGTCCCAACACTTCATGGGAAATAGATGGGGAAACAGTGGAAGCAGTGTCAGACTTTATTTTGGGGGGCTCCAAAAATGACTGCAGCCATGAAATTAAAAGACGCTTACTCCTTGGAAGGAAAATTATGACCAACCTAGACAGCATATTAAAAAGCAGAGACATTACTTTGCCAACAAAGGTCCGTCTAGTCAAGGCTATGGTTTTTCCAGTGGTCATGTATGGATGTGAGAGTTGGACTGTGAAGAAAGCTGAGCGCAGAAGAATTGATGCTTTTGAACTGTGGTGTTGGAGAAGACTCTTGAGAGTCCCTTGGACTGCCAGGAGATCCAACCAGTCCATCCTAAAGGAGATCAGTCCTGGGTGTTCCTTGGAAGGACTTATGCTGAAGCTGAAATTCCAATACTTCGGCCACCTCGTGCGAAGAGTTGACTCATTGGAAAAGACCCTGATGCTGGGAGGGGTTGGGGGCAGGAGGAGAAGGGGACAACAGAGGATGAGATGGCTGGATGGCATCACCGACTCGATGGGCATGAGTTTGAGTAAACTCCGGGAGTTGGTGATGGACAGGGAGGCCTGGTGTGCTGTGATTCATGGGTCTCAAAGCGTCAGACACGAGTGATCGACTGAACTGACTGAACTGAACATTCTTTGGCACTGTCTTTCTTTGAGATTGGAATGACAACTGACCTTTTCCAGTCCTGTGGCCACTGCTGAATTTTCCAAATTTGCTAGAATATTGAGTATATTCATCTTTTAGCATCATCTTTTAGGATTAGAAATAGCTCAACTGGAATTCCATCACCTCCACTAGCTTTATTTGTAGTGATGCTTCCTAAGGCCCCCTTGGCTTCACTCTTCCGGATGTCTGGCTCTTGGTGAGTGTGATCACACCATTGTAGTTATCTGGGTCATGAAGATCTTTTTTGTAGAGTTCTTCTGTGTATTCTTGCCACCTCTTAATATCTTCTGCTTCTGTTAGGTCTGTACCATTTCTGTCCTTTATTGTGCCCATCTTTGCATGAAATGTTCCCTTGGTAACTCTAATTTTCTTGAAGAGATCTCTTAGTCTTTTGCATTCTATTGTTTTCCTCTATTTCTTTGCACTTATCACTGAGGAAGGTTTACTATCTCTCCTTGCTATTCTTTGGAACTCTGCATTCATATGAGTATATCTTTTCTTTTCTCCTTTGCCTTTCACCTCTCTTCTTTTCTCAGCTATTTGTGAGTCCTCCTCAGATAACCATTTTGCCTTTTTTCATTTCTTTTTCTTGGGGATGGTTTTGATCACAGCCTCCTATAAAATGTCATAAACCTCTGTCCATAGTCCTTCAGGCACTCTGTCTATCAGATCTAATCCCTTGCGTCTATTTGTCACTTCCACTGTATAATCATAAGGGGTTTGATTTAGGTCACACCTGAATGGTCTACTGGTTTTCCCTACTTTCTTCAATGTAAGTCTAAATTTTCAATAAGGAGTTCATGATCTGAGTCATGATGTCACAGTCAGCTTCTGGTCTTGTATTTGCTGACTGTATAGAGCTTCTCCATCTTTAGATGCAAAGAATATAGTCAATCCGATTTTCATATTGACCATCTGGTGATGTCCATGTGTAGAGTCATCTCTTGTGTTGCTGTTACAAAGCATTTAATCTATGTGCTTTTATTTAGTTCCATGTGCCAGGGTCCATACTCAGAGTTCTTAGACAGAGTCGTTAATCCATTTCAGCATGTTGCTTCCTTGCCCCCAAGCTTCTCTTTCTCAAGTTAATGGTAGTTGCCTTGAAACCATCTGAAAGTATTGGAAATTGAAATGAACTTTTTGTCTGACTAGATGTCTTAATGAGAGGCTTCTAAGCAGCAAGTCTTGTCTCTTGCTATTTATGATACTGAAGCTGTTGGCTTATTAATCTACAAGGTCCAACATTTCTGGGCTCTTTATTCCCTTATTCTGCTTGCCATCCAGTAGATTCTGGTCTGAGCACATTTCTACTTTGTAATGCCTAGATAAAAACAGCAAGCAGCATTACAAATAATAAATGCTGGAGAGGGTGTTGAGAAAAAGGAACTTTCCTACGCTGTTGATGGGAATGTAAATTAATACTGGCACTATGGAGAACAGCATGGAGTTTCCTTTAAAACTAAAAAAAAGAGCTACCACATGATTCAGCAATCCTATTCCTGGACATATATATGGAGAAAATCATCATTTCCAAAGTTACATGCACCCCAATGTTCATTGCAACACTATTCACAATAGCCAGTATACAGAAGAAAGCTAAATGTCAACATATGAGTCCAGAGATGAATGAATAAAGAAGATGTAGTATATTTATAGGATGGAATACTGTTCAACCATAAAAAATGAATTAAAGTCATTTGTAGCAACATGGATGGATATAGAGATGATCATATAATTATGATATTGTGTAGAATCTTAAAAAAGAAAAAAGAGGGAAATCCCTGGTGATCTAGTGGTTAGGATTCTGCAATGCTTCCACTGGAGGGGGCCTGATTCAATCCCTAGTTGGGGAACTAAGATCCCACAAGCTGTACCCTATAGTAAAAAAAAAAAAAAAAAAGATACAAAGGAACTTATATACAAAACAGAATTAGACCCACAGACATAACAAACTTATGGTTACCAAAGAGAAAAGGGGGGGGATATAAATTAGGAGCTTGGATTATCATATAACACCCTACTATATATAAAATAGATAACCAAAAGGACCTACTATATAGCATGAGGAACTGTAGTCAGTATTTTGTAATAAGTGAAAACAATCTGAAATATACACATATATAACCAAATCACTGTGCTGTACACCTCAAACTAACACAACATTGTAAATCAACTATACTCCAATTTTTTAAAAATTTAAAAACTTTGGGCAACTCATACATTCTGGATCATTGCAACCACCTTCCCTTACACTACTGGCACAGTAGGAATTGTGTCTGCCTTTCAAGTTATCACAGCATCAGTTCTACCAAAAGTTTTGCCATGGCAGAAGAGGAGCCGCCGTATTTACAGCCAGTGATACCAGTTTCCAACTTCCTGCTATGCATCTACTAAGCCAATGCCTGTATTTTATTTTTCTATTTTATTTGTCACACCAGCGCAGCTTGTAGCTTTTTAGGTCCCTGACCAGGGATCAAACCCTGGCCCTTGGCAGTGAAAGCAAAGAGTCCTAACCACTGGACTGCCAGGGAATCCCTAGGTGTTTATCACTCCACTTCAAGGTACTGATTTCTCTATTGTGTGTTAGTCGCTCAGTCACGTCCAACTCTTTGCGACCCCATGAACCGCAGCACGCCAGGCCTCCCTGTCCATCACCAACTCCCACCCAAACCCATGTCCATCGAGTCGGTGATGCCATCCAACCATCTCATCCTCTGTCGTCCCCTTCTCCTCCTGCCCCCAATCCCTCCCAGCATCAGAGTCTTTTCAAATGAGTTAGCTCTTCTCATCAGGTGGCCAAAGTACTGGAGTTTCAGCTTCAGCATCTGTCCTTCCAATGAACACCCGCGACTGATCTCCTCTAGGATGGACTGGTTGGTTCTCCTTGCAGTCCAAGGGACTCTCAAGAGTCTTCCCCAACACCACAGTTCAAAAGCATCAATTCTTCTGCGCTCAGCTTTCTTCACAGTCCAACTCTCACATCCATACATGACCACTGGAAAAACCACAGCCTTGACTAGACGGACCTTTGTTGGCAAAGTAATGTCTCTGCTTTTTATTTATTTATTTATTTATTTTTAATAAAAAAGTATCAAATTTATTTCAATATCTAGTTTCATTTTTAAATTAAAGCTATTGGACAATTTTTTGCAATTTAAAATTCATTATTAGAGGTGAGGAAAACATTAATAAGCTATTAATTATTGAAAACAAAATTATCAACCATGCATTTAAAAAACCCATGTTAAAGAGGAAAAAGTTCCAACTATACTATTTAACTGAAGGAAATATCCTTTACCTCTTTATTTTGAACATTCTCATTTTGACATAATTTACACCTTTTTCACACAGTTAATACAATGCAAACAAAATTTTTCCAAATGTTAAGACTTTTGTTACCCTTTATGACACATGACATAACTGTAACTCTTTAAAAGTTCCTCAAAAGAAAGTTGAAATTTTAATTTTCACCATGAACCTGTCTGATCAAAAGTAAAGGACATCACCACCACATGAATTAAAACAAAGAATAGAATAAAAAACAAAAGTGGTATCTATATAATCAGCAAATTATCTGATAAGACATGTTAACTATTTCACATTTCTACTTAGCACAAGTGAGAATAAACTGGTTCCAAGGTACTACAGGTTTGGCATTTTTGCTCTTAAGCTTTAAATCATAGTGTTACTCTACTCAAGTCATCTCTAAGAAAATGGCAGTGTTCATAAGTAGAAAAATGATTATATCCAGTAGGTGGTATTCTACATAATCAAGACAACAAGAAAATTCTTTATAAAATTAGATTTTTAAAAATGCAGACTATCTGATAATTACCAGTATCTCAAAAGCTAAAGTAAGAAAAATACAGAAAATAGAGAAGTACTCATTGAATAATATTATTTTGCTTTGAGGAAACCAGAAATGATTCTATTCCAAGAAATAATAACGATAAGAGATGTAATTAATACACCATGTATCTTTTAAGCCAAACCACGCTTTTCTGCTCGGAACAACTCTTGGTTTTTACATTCTTAATCTCCTCTGTCCAGAAGAGGACCACATTTTAAGCCATTATTTGAATTGAGTTCATAATCTAAAGTCACTTTTCTTCACAGGATGTTTTCATTTTAGTATTCATACATAAGCTGCAAAAAGGCAAATGAAAGTCAGTTAAAAGAATCTGTAGCATAATAAATGCCCATTTACAGTAACTGTCAACAGACTTCTATACCGAAGCCGAAAAGCTGCTACAGTACAGGTGAGAAGTGACATGATTCTTCCATAGACTCAGACTTCGTTTAGTAATACTGTCATAAGATCCAAAAAGAAACCTTAACGGGTCCTTTCAAAGACGCATAATTTTCCGAACAATTTTCCTCTGGACACACAGCCTGTTCATTCCGTCAATCCTTTTTTAGTCGTTTAGCTTTTGCAATATTTTCTTGACGTTTTTGCTTCTTTTGCTCCTTTTCCCTGGCCTCAATCATCTTGGCCAGTTTCCAAGACAGCACAGCGCTTGCTAGGAACAATGGAGTCAGAGCCAGAAGAACTGTCGTAAGGAAGCCGGACGGGTCCTTTGCAGCCCACTCCACGACGTAGTCAGCCCAGGCCTTTAGGTCAAACATCTTCCTGGAGGCCTTATGCTTGAGTAGTGATCTCTTTTAATTTTGTCCTGGCATTATCAGCCAGTCACAATTTCAGATGACCTTTGGTTAGCTGTCTACCAAATACACTTCTACCAATACACTTCTGAGAGAAGGCTTAAATTCTATATACTCCCGTGCACCTCAATTTCGGACCCTAGGTGCAAGCGCCCTCCACACTTTAAGGAATAAATATTATTCTTCTTCCTTCCTAAAAGGATCCACCGGGCATGCTCTTCGGATCAGACCCGCGCGGCGCCTGAAGGTGAGGGCACCTCACAGCCACCCGCACTGTCCTTTCCTGTGTTTTCCCCTCGCTCACCCTTCCTCACCCTACCCGGTGGCCCGCCGCTGGGGCCACGCTTCCCCGACCCTCCGCCTCGGCGAGCGCGGGCCCGGCGGGGCTCGAACAGCCGGCGGTCCCCGGGAATCAGAGGTCATCCCCGCCACACCCTGGGCCTCCGGCGCGTGGCCACCTCCGCTGAGCTCGGGGGCAAAACCGCGGCACCGACCGCCACCCGCCTCCCCTCATGTCTCTGCTTTTTCATATGCTGTCTAGGTTTGTCATAACTTTCCTTCCAAGGAGTAAGCATCTTTTAATTTCATGGCTGCAATCACCATCTGCACTGATTTTGGAGCCCCGAAAAACAAAGTCAGCCACTGTTTCCACTGTTTCCCCATCTATTTGCCATGAAGTGATGGGACCAGATCCAGGTATCAACAGTTGTTATTTTGGAATAGGCAGTGAAGGTGAGGCAGAAGGACAGCATAGGGGAGGGAGACATAGACTTTTGCTATTTTTATATCTTTATAAATATTAGATGCTTTACTATGTGAATATATTACTTTCTTTTTTGAAAAATTATTTTTTAAGAAGCGACATAAGACGTTATAGACTGATAAATCTGAAAAGAAGTCAGGCTTCTTGAAAAACAGAGGGCAGGGCGATGGGAAGCCAAGAGCGTATCATCCCATCCCTTGGTTCTCAGATAGGAGTGTCAGGGAAACCATGGCCTCTGGTCAAGAGAGTTGTGAATTACCATGTATTACCACATGCATGTATGTAATCATATTTATGTTTCCCTCCTGAGAAAGTCAGGTTTCTAGTTGCCACAGCGGCGGTATTCTGTGATAGAGCTGAGGCTGCAGCAATGTCTAAGCAAAGAGCAGGGCGTCAGAGGTCTTGATGGACCGGAAAGGGGAAGCAGAAGGAAGAAGGGCTTGGCTGCAAAGAGATGGGCAAGAAGAGAAGAAACCCTGGTCGGGCGGCCAGTAGGTAAGGGGGACTGTATGGGTCCACCTGCTGTCGTTCTCTCCTATTTTACCACGTCAAGTCAGCTTACCAAGTCAAGGAAGAAGCACGTTTTGGGGGTATTGCATTGGTTTTTTTGGAAGCACATGGAGAGGTTTGGGGAGTGGTGGAGAGTCTAGGAGCGGGGAAAGGTCATACTCGCCACGCGCTTATGAGACCTATGCCTCGACTTCAGGGAGCCTCCCACCGGCCCTATCTGAGCGCCCATTCTAGAATCTTCTCGGTGTGGGGCCCCTTCTGCTGCAGAGCGGCCCGGAGGCTCCAGGACAGCAGCCACTCCTTCTGCGGAGCCTGCAGAACCCATCCTCACCAGCAGGTGGCACACACGCATAAGCCCGCGGAAAGAATCAAGTTAGACCAGAAAAAGCAGGCACAGCAAAGGAATCCGGGAGTGAGGTCCACAGACCGGAGGATCGATTGCATTTTCCAAACCTTGGCCACCAAGTGGCGTTTTCCGGCGTGCCCAGACTTGAGGCTGGATTCTTGGTCAAGATGGGAGGAAATATCTTTGTACCTGTCTTCATGCTCAGTTGCTCCGTCGTGTCTGACTCTGTGACCCTATGGGCTGCAGTAGGCCAGGCTCCTCTGTCCATGGGGTTTATTAGGTAAGGGTACTGGCGTGGGTTGCCATTTCCTTCTTCAGAGGATCTTCCTGACCCAAGCATCGAACCCACGTCTCCCGCATTGCAGGCAGATTCTTTACCCTTGAGCCACCCGGGAAGCCATCCCTGCATCAGGTGGCAGCTAATGCCAAGATACAGAATAAGAGAAGTTGATGACCCATTTAGGGCCACGTTGCCCCCTCCGGCAGCCCAATTCTACCTTGAATGGCCTTCCTGAATCATTATCCATATTCTTAACTGTTTGTATCCCACACAAAGCCATTTCTCCCTTTTCCCAGGCTTAAAGATCCTGGATTTTGTCCCAGTGTATAACTCCTTTGCCACATAACTAGGGCAAATCATGAGCAGGCTAAGCCAACCAGGGCTGTCTTATTCCCTTTGGCACTGATGGTCTTGGGGGTGAGAATGTGACCCAGATCCAGCCAATGAGCACTACAGAAGCCAGGAATCTAATAAGAAAAGATTTCCCAGCTCTTAAAAAAATCCCCAATATGAAAGTTGGACAGCTTAATGTAAATCAATAAAGTTAGAACACACCCTCACACCATGCACAAAAATATACTCAAAATGGGTTAAAGACTTAAACATAAGACATACCACTATAAAACTTGTAGAAGAGAGCATATACAAAACATTCTCTGACATAAACTATACCAATATTTTCTTAAATCAGCCTCCCAAGGCAACAGAAATAAAAGCAATAAAATAAAATAAACAAATGGAACCTAATCAAACTTATGAGCTTTTTCACAGCAAAAGAAACCATTAAAAAAAAAAAACCGGAAAGACAACCCACAGAATGGGAGAAACTATTTGCAATGATGCAACTGACAAGGGCTTAATCTCCAAAATATATAAACAGCTCATACAGCTCAACAGCAAAAAAAACAACCCAATCAAAAGATGAGCAGGAGACCTTAATAGACATTTCTTAAAAGAAGACATACAGATGTCCAAAGAAGCACATGGAATGATGTTCAGTGTTGCTAATTATTAAAGAAATGCAAATCAAAACTACAAAGAGGTATCACCTCACTGCAGCCCGAATGGCCATCATCAAAAAGTCTACCAAGAACAAATGCAGGAGGGGTATGGAGAAAAAAAAAGAACCCTCCTACACTCTTTGTAGGAATATAAGTTGGTGCAGCAACTATGAAAAATAGTGTGGAAGTGAATCAGAGAACTAAAAATAGAACTACTATAGGACCCAGCAATCCCACTCCTGGGCATATACCTGGACAAAACTATAATTCAAAAAGATACATGCACCCTTGTGTTCACAGAAGCACTATTCACAAAAGCCAAGACATGAGAACAATGTAAATATCCACTGACAGATAAATGAATAAATAAGATGTGGTACATATATGCAATGGAATATTACTAAGCCATAAAAAGAATGAAATAATGCCATTTGTGGCAACATGAGTGCAACTAGAGATGCTCATACCAAGTGAAACAAGTCAGAGAGAGAAAGACAAACACCATATGATATCACTTAGGAAAGTGAAATTTTTACTCAGTCACATCTGACTCTTTGCAACCCCATGGACTATAGCCTGCCAGGCTTCTCTGCCTATGGAATTCTCCAGGCAAGGATGTGGAGTGGGTAGCCATTCCCTTCTCCAGGGGAACTTCCAGACCCCCAGGTAATCTCTTGCATTGCAAATGGATTCTTTGCCGTTGCCCGAGGCACCAAGGAAGCCCGATCTAAAACATGACAGAAGTGAACCTATCTCCAAAACAGAAACAGACTCGCCGACATCGAGAGCAGGCCTGTGGTTGCCAAGGAGAACAGGGGGATGAAGAGGGATGAACCTCGAGTCTGGGGTTGGTAGATGCAGACCATTATATTTAGAATGGATAAATAACAAAGTCCTACTGTATAGCATAGGACACTATATCCAAACTACTGGGATAAACCAGAACGGAAAAGAATATAAAGGATGTATATATGTGTGTAACTGAGTCACTTCTCTGTACAGCTGAAATTAGCACAACATTGTAAATCAACTACACTTCAATTAAAAAAAAAAAAGAGAGAGAGAGAGAAAAGCCCTGATGCAATAAGAGCCTTCATTCTTTTTCCCAGCAGTTTGGAAAATAAGTTTGTCTAAGCAAGGAAGAGGTTTATCGGAAAGTCAAAGAAAGGGGCGAAGGGGAAGAAAGTGAAAGAGGAGAAAGAGGGTCCTTTTGTTCTTAAGTGGTGGGAGCTGGGGAGCAGTGAAAACAGGGATGCTCCCGGACACAGGTAAGTGGCTGTGAAGGCCCCGTGCTGCTTCAGAGCTGAGCCTGGGCCAGGGCTGTGGCCTCTCCCCATCCACTCCGCTTCCGTTTCCCAGCTCTCCTCATGTGGGCATGTGGGGAGCCTCAGCACTGGTGGAGAACAAGCCGAGCAGGGGCTGGCCCCGCAGAGCCCCTCTTGCCTCTCCCCTATTCTGGTTGCTTCTGGGGTGCACGATGCAGAGTCCCACCGTGAGGGTCCAGGCATCCATGGATCCCGGTGCCACACATGAGCTCAGCCAGTACTTAAGTTACTCCTTCAGCCTTTAAACAAATCCACGTCCCTCTCATCTAGCAATACCAGTCCTCTTCCACGCTAGCCGTGTGTCTGTCCACTGCAGACCTGTGTGTCTCCTTCCTTCAGAACCAGGCTGACGGGAAAATGGCACATCTGCTGCCTCTCCTCCTTCACCTCACATTCACTCCCTAATCCAGAGTCCTCCCCCTGCCACTCTGTTGAAGCCTCTTTGAATAATGGTGTCTTTTTTAATTGGAGGACAATTGCTTATCAATGTTGTATTTGGTTTCTGGACAAGGTGTTAATAATCTCCATCCTGCCAAATTCAATGGATGTTCTTTAGATGTTTTCATAGTGACAATTGTTGTGTGTGGCATTTGACTCTATTAACCACTTACTCATTTGTTCAGTAGGTGTTCATTAAGACTCAACCATACAGCAGTCATCGTTCTAGGTTCTGAAGATCCATTAGATACATTAGTGATAAAATAGTCCTAAATGCCTGTGTTCATGAAGCGTATATTCT